ATTAATTTAGTAAGAAGGGTGGGCTTTTTAATTAGCTCCCACAGCTTTTGGTTCCTTTCATTGGGTAAACTCAAATGTTTATTATTGTAGTCAGCTTAATAATCATTTTAAACGTTTTAGTACAGGGGTTTCTTTTCATAGCAGCTGATCTGTAGCAGAATTATTCTATGATTCTGACTCTGGGGTGAATCACTCCCCCATACTCTGTAAGGATAGATCTATGCTGTAAAATGTTAGGACAGATTTAGCTTTTAATGATTACATCTTCAAATTCAATTGCTACTGGTCGACTTAGGGTGGCTTTTAATTTAACTCCTCCCACGATCTCAAGCCAAATATAACGGCATGCAAGGGGAAGGTTTTGACTGTTTATTAATATTTTCTGGTCGGCCCCCACTTGTGCATTGAGAAAAATCCTTGGGTTGCCGGCCACTGTTATCTATTTGCTAGCAAGGAGCTTTAGAATCTCCTGGAGTTACTTGACAACTTTTTCTCTGGTCCTGTGTGCTGTTCTGTGTATGTGTTTCCAACCAAAATGCCTAGGGCCAATATGGCTTGATGGTCGGCTGGAATTCCTTCCCTCAGAATTTGAAGGAACACTTCCCCTAAGCTGTTAAACTTATGCTAAACTCAGTGTTTTGCTTTGGATCAGGCAAAGTTTGTTACTAGAGCCCGTGTCTCCAAAGGGAAGAGCTGATCCCTTTTAGTTATTTTTCATGTCTCCTCTCTGTCTTCAATGATGAGTGGCAATGGCCCATATGGAGCTGAGCATAAAGAGGGCTAGAGGGGTAATATTGTGCTAAATTCCTCCCTAAGCTTGGGAGAGGTGGCACAGCTGATATGGGTGCACCAGCTGAGAAATCCTTTCCTCTCACTCCTAGTGCATTCTTTTGGCACAGAGGAGCTGCGGCTTGTGAGTTACATTTCTCACTGTAGGGAAGATTTTTTTGCTTTTCTGAGCTTCAATCTCCTCCCTCAGGGCTGTAATTTTTTCTTTTTTAATGCGAGGTTTTTTTAAGCAATGTTATTACTACTTTCTTGGTGTTTTCACTTTCCTTTTTCAGTTCTCCACTTGATTAAATCCTTTTCTGTCAAATGCTTACAGATCCTTGGGCCATGATGCACGTACATGTGGTATGCAGGGGTGCCTTTCAGTGGCATGGGGTATGCTTAGACTGACCCACACCCAATATAGTCACTCAGAACAGTATCCTGTCCACTCCCTGCCCACTCAGCGGTTCATAGGAAACTAACTCTGCACACTCCAAAGAAGGGGTCTGCTGGGTCTAGAGTGTCAGACTTTATCAGCAGCTCATGAAATAAGGGGAGTCGTCGCTCCCTCACATATCCGCTGAGTCTCGAGGTTCAGCTGACCCCCCTCCTTGCATTCAGAGCTCCCTCGTGGGAGAGCCCTGGTGCAGCTGGGATCAGCTCAAGTCTCAGACCTATGCAGCGGCATTCATTCTTCACTCATTACATTCATACTCATTTTCCCCACACATTTTTTTTTCACACTTTTTTTTCTCCTTTTTCACACCGACCCGTAGCCGTCCAGTCCCGCCTTAGCCTCGGCGGGTCCCCAGCCGCCTTCGCTGCCTGCTTGCCTGGCTCCCGCGGTTCCTGCCTCCCTCTCCTGGGCTCCTGCCCCCGCTGGCTCCGCCGCCGCTGGACTCACTGCCCCTGGCTCC